GCTTGTGCTTGTGCTTGTGCTTGCGTCGCTAGTGAAAACCAGGCTTAACTGAGCAATCGAAAGGAAACTTAACACACAACTCTTAATCGCTCTTACGTTTAAAGGTCAAAATAAATTACATCGAAAGATTGAAAAGAAATAAAAAACACACACACACAATACGATTTGCACTCATCAACTTCGTATCCAAAATCCTCTCCCCTCGTTCTAGGAACGAGGTTGTGCTGTTATAACTAGATAGGGCACATAGATTGAAATATAATACAACGTGACGTAGTGACGATTTCGTACAATGTCAAAGACGTGCTCTGTAGGCCATGACACGAAAAAGGAACACACAACAACATGTACCACGTTATCGGGCGCGAACTTAGAAAAAAGGTTTGCGAAAAAAAAGGTAATTTTTGCTTGTCAGCCAGTTTTTATCTCTCTTTTCACGCTTGGGAATTACCACGAAATGGCGAGCGGTTGCACCACTTTGTTTTGTTGTGTCGTGGGCAAAAAAAAGTGTTCTCCATAGATGAATAATGAGCGAAAGTTTAGTTGCCCAATCGTCACTGATGTCACAAGTGTTGAGAACGAAAAAGGCTGTCCATTTAGTGAACATGTCAAAATAAACCTTTCTTTCGCCGGGAATAAAAACCTTTAGAAGCCTCAAAGTAGCACGAATCACAAATTATAGAAAGATTACGCCGAAACGAATTGTAAAACCTGGTTTGTATAGACTATTCCCTTGATTTTCGAAAATAATTTTGTGGTAGCTTAACTGTTTGTTTAGCTTTACAGCTGGTTAAAGAAAATCTCCTAACCAATCAGGGTCGAGATATTATATTTTAGCCAATTAGAAGGCAAACTAAAACCGCTGGTGCAGCTTTTCCCGCCCTTACCACTGGGTGTAAGGCATCGCGTTCCAGTGGGGAGCGTACTGAGCTAGTTTTACTTAGGCCATGGTCTTTGAACGTCGAACTTCTCACAAGCCGAACCTAACGCAAATAAGAAAAAGCTATAGAGTTTTCTCCTTTGCTTTACGTCCCGGCTCATGTGAAGTTCAAGGTTTGACCGTGACCTTACATGAAAAAAATAATTAAACCAAAACGTTTCAGATAATCAAAATTCCACTATTGATTTCGGAAGCTCAAGTTTCGTTTTAGGCAAGGATAAATGCTTTCGGCATGGAGAAGAAAAAGAACCAAACTTCAGGTGTGCCAGTTGATGATGGAAAAATATGTCGACTAAACGTAAGAAAGTAGTGATACAAGTCTATATTTGCTTAAAAGGCTTTCCTCGCACCCTATCAACCTTCCTAATGACTGCTCGCCGAGCCACCAGTCATGCAGAGAGCCTGGTTTTCTAGACCTTGAAGTAATCCGATAAAAAACTTGCTTCTTTCGTTTACTCAGCTTCGTGCCTGGTTCAAGAACCTCGTGCAGCATCATTTAACCAATCAGAGCGAACACGTCATCTTCTCAGCCAATCAGGAGCGAAACAATATTTTGGCTCACTGGATTTTCCCGAGTTTTTCGCCGGTTACACGTTTTCCCGCTCTTGACGGCGGAAAGATTTTCCTGTTTCGAGCTGATTGGTTAGTTCTACCTTAGGGGCAGTAGTGAATGGTTCTGTGATAACTTTAACTTTGCTGGCGATTTTTACAGTGATAAAAAGAGCTAAATTTCTGTAAATCACAGAAATTCAACTAAGAGAAGAGCAGTTACCATCCTCTCCCTGAAAAATGGCTAGATAAAAAGTAATTTGTCTGAAAATACTTACAGGATACCCTATAACTTTCTATTTTACTTAGTATTTATAGCAATATATTACTACATCTATATTGTATAACCACAAATTCCCCCAGGGTATCTGGCAGGCCACATCAAAGAGTACACGACTGACATTCAGTTCTCAGTTGCGACGTCATCTAATGCGTTTCTTCTTGGCTTTTGATCTGGCCGCTAATAAAAGAAAACAGAAAACACGTGACTGCACAATAAAGGTAACCATTTGGCAATTTCGACGTATTAAAATTAAGCTTGATAGTGAGGCCTAGAGGACACAAACAAAAGATATGAATAAACATGTCATGCAATTCCCCTTCTTTGTGTCTTCTAAGCCTCAATACCAAGCTGAATGTTAAAATATCGAGAATAAACCTCTCACTGAGTCTAGTAACGTGACCATATCAATAGGGAGTTTACGAAAACCACGATCGACAACGGCAACGAGAAAGTCGCTAAGCAAAAGGCTTAACGAGCAGAACAATGGCTGTGCAAGTGCGTTATAATTCCTGGTACATTTCTTTGCCGTCCTTTGCAAAACAACAACGTGAAATGTCCAAAGTCTGCGTTGTCTGGAGAACGTGAACCACGACGGGTAATTCTTTAAAATCTTATTTCAAATTTATCGCCGTGTTGCAGATTCAGTTTCGCCACATGTTGACAGTGAGAAACAAAGCAACCGACTTTAGAGCACAGGCCACTTGGAGACTACTGTTTTTAAAGGAGGTCAGTCACGGTATTCTGAGTTATTTTGGCCACATACAAAATTTCCTTTAAATGGGAGGAAACCTGAAAATAACAGTTTAATAAGATAGAAAAACACCAAAGAGATAATGATAAACCATAAAGGAACAAGGATGGCAAAGGATGGAGAAGATTAACACGGATTACAAACGACGAATTTGAAAAATTGAGGCTAAACTTTTCAATATGCGCAAACCGTGACTGAGCTCCTTTAAAGTAGGAAATTTAATGGCGTTTGAAAGCTTAGGACTGACTCACCCTGTCTCCCTCGAAGTCGCTCTCTCTGAAAAATAAAAGACAAGAAACAGTTTTGACAATCAACCCACTTAAAACTGACGTTCGCTAAAATTCAGAAAGATCGTTTATGAAAACAAAAAATGCAAAACAAACAAAGGAGAAAATTTACTTCGATTTGAAGTGTGCTTACCAATTCGAGAGCTTCCAAAGCCTCACTGATGGCCTGCTCCAAGCCAATCCTTACCTTCTTCGCTCTAAATAAATAGGAAATAAAAATTATAATACGGAGTCAAATTTTCGCGTTTGGACGCAGTGTTTTGTTTAGTTGGTCGTGATTTTTCAGTCTAGTAAAAGTTCGGAAACTTTTTGGAGTTCTTTTGATCAACATTAGGAGGACTTCAAATTATGCACTGTTCACCGAGACTTTCAAATTGGCCTTTTCTCCGGCGTATTCGTCTTACTTGTATTTTTTCTTGCGAGCTTTATCGTCGAGTGTTCTCAGTCCATCAGAGAGTGTTTTGAGTCTGTCCACTTCAACTTGACTGAATGTATGATCACCAAACCACATCACCCAACGCTGTAATGAAAACAAATCGCATTATTAGTAGCCTGCTCCAGGCGCGAAGAACGGGTGGAAAAAACGCGAGGGGCTTGAGGCGAGAAAGGGCGCTTTGTTCTCCGGACCCCCTCCCCCCCCCCTCGTTCTCGCGCTCGCCTCGTTCCCATTTCGCTCACCCCACAAACCGAGAGCCTGGAAAAGACTACATTATCAGATGTCGGTTGGCAAAGTAGTAGCAACTCTTGAGCAAAATAAAATAAAAATAAAAAACCAAATTAGAATTACGGTCGGGGAACCGCAGAGCGTTGACTCCTGAAAACCAGTTCGCGGTAAAAATCTGTTTTATCTAAAATGGAGTAAACACGAGAATCCCTGAATCTTTAATGAAATCAATTTGACTAATTATAGAATGAAAAATTTCAATGTAAATGGCGAGATTTTGACTTATTTGCAGACCTCAAATAGGGCATTTTACAGTTGGGTGCTTAGTTATCCGGCCCATGAATGTAAGCAAGGCTGGAGGTGACCTTGCTTTGATACAGACCTCTCTGCTTTGGTCATGTAAATGAATCTAGTTAGCATTAGAACAACTTGCTTACAAAACAAAAGCAGTGAGGTCTGTATCAAAACAAGGTCACCTCCAGCCTCGCTGCCATTCAAAGGCCAGGTCACTGAGCAGACAACTGCAAAATGGAGCGAGACTGGAATATTTAAAATATCCAGGTTTACGGAAATTGACATACCTTTCCGTCATCGGGTCTCGCCTTTCCAACCTCGCTTGCATCCACCACTTTACCAGGCCATGAAGGCAGGCCACGGGCCTGCGCCCAAACAATATCACCGATATCAAACTGAGGTCTTGCGATGGACACGGGCGGCTCGTTAAGACATTCCTGGTTATTAGCCGTGTTGGATGTTACGGGATTTGTTTTGAGTGGTAGATATGCGCTCTGGTTGACCATTTGCACTAAAACGTTGGAAACAAAACCATTGTTATAGATATGGATAAAATATTCTCCGCTTCAGTGACTGGTTGAAGATTATGTTAAGGCAGAGAAACACGAAACAAGAATGGCTGAAATTGGGGAAGATTGACGCGGATTACACAAAGTAACGTACGAACGGCAAGCTGCTTCATTCCTTACCGCGTGCGGGCTCATTTTGATTTGGCGACACATCTCCATTATAAAGCGAGTGAGACTGGCGCTTGTTACTGATTGGCTCATTCTCACCGGAGACAGATCGCTCATCTCTGGACTTGGGGTTTCCTGTAAACAGTGCAAAGGAAACAACATCTATCAAAATTACAAAAGAATCCTGCCACCTTAAACTAGCTTACTTTGAACGAAAGCCTGTTTTTGCTAGGTGCTGTTGTACAAACGCTCTTTATCAGCCTCTCTCAAACTCCTGGTTTCATGAACTCTACTTTCCCAAACTCATAACTTAATTCATCGAGTTTAAGAAAGGAAATCATGACCATGACCTTAATTAGCATAGATTTTTTACGATTTTATTTCTCCGCTATACTCCACTATGCGCCGTATTTTCAACTCTCTTCTCAGTGTTGGGAAATGTGGTCAAACACGGTCTTTCGTGTTTGATCTATTACGCAATAACGTAGTTTGTGTTCAAGGATGAATACACACAACACAAATTTGTTGCCTTATCATAGCTAGCTTCGATTATTCTCTCAGCCAGAGTGCCTGTTTCTATTGGCTCTCACGCGTGCTGATTCACTCCCAACCCACAAATACAATCATTCTAGCATGAATAATTACCTGTTTCCCTTCAATAATTCTATACCTAAAGGATGTGACACTTTTGAGGGATACAGTCTTCTGGTTTTGTCTTATTACAAACCTAACAATTGGAGAGAAACTGCAGTTAACTCCCTTACCTCTACGTCGGTCATCACTCTCATTACAACTGTTTAAGTTGCTACATTTTTTGCTGTTTGAAATCCCTTCCCCTGACTGGTTGTTTTCAGGGGAGGATCCCTCGTTTTTTAACACCGCAGGATCATCAATAGAATCTTCCTCGTCATCATCATCATCATCATCATCTCGCTCTGGGCTGCAATATGCTTCTATGGCTTCACAAGACCTTTTCAGCCCTAGAAGAGGATTAGTTTCATAATATGCCGACTCATTGTACTTTGTCTTTTTAGTTTGCTCATTGTTATCACTGTAAGTTCTCTTTAGTGTACAAGCCATTTCAGATGATGTTTTCACCGGATGGCTTTCAACTGCATTAAACGATTGAACACGAGAAGGCATGCTGTCTACACTGCCTTTATTACTTGCCAGTGGTGAATCACCCTTCGGTGACCCGCGGCATCCAGAAAGCCCCTGGCTGGGCATTGGTAATGGTGAGTTCAGGGGGGATGTTACACTTGCATGTCTAGGTGAATGACTGCTACTTGAGCTTGATGTTCTCAAAGCAGTCGCAGACGATGCACTGACTTCCATACAACTGCTTCTACTGGACGACACAGAAAATGATGCACACGAATTTTGTACACTGCAGCACCCTGAGCTGCTGTTATCTGGGGTGCTGCATCTTCGTTTATTAGTTGCTCCAGGTAAACTCTTGGTTGCAACCCAAGGTGGCAGGTGATGGGCCGGGCCTGGTACATCCATCTTTTGATTACCATGACTAGCAATGCCATGGCTAGAAGGAGGTGAAAAGGCACTTCCAGGGTGGGGGCTAGGGGTGGACAAAGAGTGACCTGTGCCTGTGTGGTTGGTATTGAATGGCATTGTAACATACCCCAGGACAGCACTTGCAGCATGGGAATCTGTGTTAGTACCAGCCCCATATTGGTGAGGCGTAGTTGCAGATGTAACAAGACTGCAAGCTGGTGATGGTGAGGACGATGTAACAGAAGGACCTGTACTTACACTAGGAGCTGCAAAATTCACAGAAAATGGAAATCGGGGATGGTTGATTTGACCAAATGCGACATATGGCATTGCAGCAACAACAGCTGTCTGAGGATGGGTGTTAGCTGGTCCAGCGTTACTTGAAGTGGAGGGTTGAGAATTGTATGAGCCAGGTTTTACAGTGTTTATTGGGTATTTGACAGCATAGTCTCCAAGGTTTAATACCGTCGGTCCCATTTGTCCACTTCCACCTGTTTGTGACTGTATGGCAGTCATTGGCACCATCCTCTGTGCAGCAAATTGTACAGGGGCATTTGCTGGAACAGTGACCCTTGGCAGAAACGGGGTGTAAGCACTCGCCAAATGAGCCAATGTTTGGGAAAACCTTGGGGATGCAGCTGGAGCGATAGGTACAAATGAATCAAAAGCAGCTGCAATGGCAGCATTTTGATTGTTGTAGGAATATGAAGCCACTGGAATAGCAGCAGCGGCCGCAGCAGCTGTTGCCGATGGAGATGTTGCTGTTGTTGGCACCGGTTGGCCTGACTGGTTTGCCTGGGTTATTGCTGTAGGCATCACAATACCAAGCATGTATGGGTTGGTAGGGTACATAGCTTGAGGGACCACCCCTGGAGTATTAGGTGATGCAGCCTTGTTTGCATTAGCTGTGGCAATGAACGTTGCCGGGATGGCCCCCTGGTATAATGCACCATGAAGCTGATATGCTCCCTTCAACTGGCTGGAGTCCACATTCATCTGAAATACTTGATTTCCATTTCCTTGAAAGAAGACACCTCCTTGTGCTTGGGAAGTTGCGATCTGCAGAGATGGTACTTGTGAGGACCCAACTGTATTTTGCACCTGTCCGTAAGCACTCACTGACGATGGTATCTGAGCTGGACTTTGAGCCACGGAGGCAGCCTGGACAATCTGCTGTTGACTGGTACTACTAGGCATGGAAACTTGACCACAGAGACCACTTGCTGTATTCCCAAGAGAGTATCCTGTCACTGGTGGCTGAGTTCTGTGAGCTGATACATGCTGTGGTACAGTTGGTGTTGCATGGCTTGTCTTAACACTTGGAGCCAACACTGCTGCAGCCTGCGTGATTTCTTTGCTCACTGCTGACTTACTACGGGCAGCAGCACTACTAACTGGTTGAGTTCCCCTTGTGTGACTGGGTGTGGCATGCACTGTATTAGTACCTGGTACAGTGGTGCTCGGCGAAGAAACAGCACGCCCCTCTTCCTTTATGATTGGGTCTTTCAGCACACTGTGGAATAATGCGGGTGCTTGTACAGTGGTTGAGACAAATGGTGTAGGTAGCACTTGAGATGAAGGTTTGCTGGCACTGTTGGCTGTACCTTTCATGGAGGAAGCAACAGCTGCAGTGGTTGCTACAACCTGCGTTCTTTGAAGAGGACTATCAAGTCCTGCCCTTGTTGCTTCTGATGATACAGCCGGCACTTTTGAAGCAGCAGCTGCTTTGAGAGTGGCTGCAACAGTTTTCCTGGGTCCATAAGACTTTGTTGGTTTGCTGTGGCGAGGTGCAGCCGCTTTAGGGCTCATTTTGACACTCGGAAGCTTGCCTACATTGGGAACTGACCTCACATCTTGCTTTGTGATTGGGATTGTTGTAATACTTGTCGACACTACTGACGTTGTAGAACTTGAAACACTTATTGTCTCCTTGATAGGGTCATTCTTGCTTGGTGCTGAAGTGGTCAATGAATCACTTGTTGTGCAGACACTTGATGTACTTGGACATTTTGTAAAAGTACCTCCTGGTGGATTTTTTGATGGTAAAGTCACTGAAATCATTGCTGTAGGCTGTAAGCTGACAGTTGCTGTGCTTGTAACAGAAGCTGTAGGTTTTGAAGCCTCTGTCACTACCTGCCCTGTAGATGCTAGGCTATTAAAAGAAGCTGACGAACTAACAGCAATGGTGCTTGTGACAGTGATTGTCTTTGATAACTGTGATGTCGTTGCCGTTGCCGTTGAAGGAGAGCTGTTTACTGCACTTGTTACAGTGCTACTTGTCAACAAAGTGCTCCCTAGACCTGCTCCAGGGTTAAAGAGTTTAGAACTGCTAACAATAGTCGCAAAACTTGGTAGTGGCCCCTGTTCAACAGCAATGTTGGTTGGTACACTCTGTACAGGACTGTTGACGATGGAGCTTGGTACAGGCAATGGGATGTTGTGAAGAGGGGACGTTGGCCGGTCAACATCAGGTTTCCGAACACTAACCCTCCGTGACTTGGCCAAGGGATTTCGTGGTCTTCCTGGGCCTGAGAAATAACCACCCAAAAACAAGTTTTAGCACTTGTCTTATGTTTTAGTTCTTCTATCTAAAAATCAAACTCCTAGTTGATAGCCTTTAAGATTGTGGATAAAACTCTGTTGGTGATGAAGAAAAGACACAGAATTGAAATAGGACTGAATTTGAAACAGTGGGATAATCATAACATTTAAACAGTCTGTTTGTGCTTGGTACGATTGTTTTGCTAGGTAAAGTTCAGCAAAATGCAGGGGTTTCTTTAACATTCAGGAGGGTAACTGGTTTTCACAGGTGGATAAAACTATTTGAACTAAACTTGTTTGTAAGAAAAAGGTACCGCTAGATGGTCAACACAGGCAGGCAAAATCATCCTCACAGCTGGTCAATTTGCCTGGTGCGCGGCCCTTAATGAAAGAGGGACGGCAGAGTTTGGTGGGGGGGGGGGGGGGGGGGGGGGGGAGAAGACCACTTTCCCCCAATTTCAAGCAAAAAATGCATGAAATAATAATTTTACAAGTATCTCCACACCCACTAAAAGTTAGCGCCTCTGGTGCTCGCTTGTAAGGTCCCCCCCAGTTCAAAATATGCTCCGCCATCCCCATGGAACCCCTGAAAATGTAGTAAAATTACTAACAGTACCTCTTTTTTGGGCCAGTGTTGAAAATGGCGGCAATTTGACATCATTAGGTTGCTTTACCGCAATCTCTGACGGCTGCTGAACGTCTAAATAGTCTAAAGTGTAGTGTTTGCATCCTGATTGTGAAGGTTCTTGCCTGCTGTTGACTGGAATTAACTTGCTTGGTATTCTTGCATCAAAGTTGAACACTTTGTAAATAAAGAGGGGGCATTCCAGCCCACATTTACATGTCCCCTCAGTCTTGAGATACTCAATCACATGATCCAGCGACCTTAGTCGACTGTTGTTTGGGCTGAGGAACAATGGATATCTTTGAGCAATGCTGTATACTTAACACCTTAATTTAAGGTGGCTATGCCCTGGATGGTACAGTTTAAGCAATAACTCTAAAATGTTATTGTTGGTTTATTTCAGTCAATTCCAATTTTCCTCCCACAAAGCTGTCCTCCTTCCTATGAGTTTACTGTGATACCCTTGATGTTTTTCTACCTTCGTAATCTATTATTCTGAGGTTTTCTTTGACTTTCAAGACAATTTTTGGTGACTTAGGTCATGTCACAGAGAAAATGCACACACTTCACAAACATAACAGGTACACATTTCTACACCAGGATGGCAAATTACTTCAGAAGCTGGAAAAACACTGAAGAAAGCTTATAAAGTGCTTGCCTTACGCATATCATGTTCAAACTTCTTTTGCATTATTCTTACACCCTACAGCCAGTGATTGTGACTGAAATGATATCCAAAATAACAATTATGTTAATTCAAGTGAAACATTGTAGCCAAGTTTCAAATTTTTTTGTGTGAAGGATTCTCCTGACAACAAAGTCTTGACTTAACATGTCAAATCTTTCTGACATGTAGATGTCTTGTTACAGTTGTGTTACTTGTCACGACAAAATGTCAGTCTTCACACAGACAAAAATTGAGACATTTTTTCTGGATTTCCAAAGGGCTTGACTTGAGTTCTTTGCATCTTCATAACAACAATTTTGCCAAAAATCGATCCACAAACCTGTTTTGCAACTTTTAATCTCTCAATAGAATAAGCACTGTGAGCTACTTTGTGGTATAATCCTTTCTCTCCTAAAAGATCCTTTTTGCTGTTTTGCTTTCTGTGGCGGGAATTTAAACAAATTTCTCAAGTTTAAGTCAGAGGGGGCTTGTAAAAGAAGTTTTTTGTTTTATATTTCTGCTGGATGAAAACGTACAATTTCATACGAAACAAAGTTTCCATTCTTGTCTTCAATATTATGAAAAAAGGTTTCTTTTGGAAACATCGCATAAACGCTTTTAGTAAAATGCTAATAAGTTTATGGCTGGAGTGGAATCGAGAAACCTTACATGTATAGAAAAGAAAATTGACATCGAACAAAATTTCCGTGAAAAGAAATAAAACTTCCAAATGTACGGAAAAAAAGGTGCAGCAGAATCGCTTTGTAAAAATTAATTCTTCACTGTCTAAGGCTATGGATTACTTTTTACGTTTCACGCTATAAAATACTTCAATTTAATTTGTTTATCGTGCCCCGACCGAGCGTCGCCAAAATGTAACAACAATACCCGTGCTTTCTTACATTGACAATGTTATTTCCGAGTAGCAAAACGGGTTAAGTTTTTGACACTTTCCACTCGAAGTAAACCTTTTCTTAAGGCACTCAGCAACACCAAATATAAGTTAAATTCGCCATGCTGGCTTACCTGATGTATAAAATGGCACCATTTTCAAGTATTCGGCTCCAACCTCGTGGAATTTCAATGCACTTGGACCCATTAATAGCTTGTTCGCTGGCGCTTGTTTCACTCATGATAATCCATGAACAGTTGTTATCTTCTTAATCGAGCGTAGAAGCAAAGGCTCGAAGAATCTCACAACGTGACATAGAACGAACAATAGAATCGACCGTGGCGGACATCCATGCGACGATAAGTGAATTCAAACACAGCTATTACGCGACGGCCGATACTAATTCACACGCTCACTTTGACCATCTGCGGCGCATAATTTCCCGAAAGAGAGATATCAGGAACTCTTTTAAGTCACTACACCGGCAAAGCTCTTGAAATGTGATGTAAAGATGCTTATATTTACATGTGAAAAGACACAGTTCTCCGCTAGAAATAGACCGCCATGTTGGAAATGCGTGTCGCATTCTATTTTCGAGGAAGTCGCCCGCTGAAAAATTGTCTAAAAACGCTGGCTCGTATTACTACGCGTACTGTAGCTCTGTGTATGTCTTTTTGCTTTGGTTGTTAGAAGTGTTACATCATGCAGTGGCGCGCTAATACAAGTTCTGGGACGTAAATCGAATGGGTTTCTTTTGGTAGGTAATTGAGGCACAAAATGTCAATCTCAACATGGACCACAGGCTACCCAATCTCACTTCCAACAAGCGTGTGGTAAATTTCTTAAATTTTTTTTGGTGCCAAATAATAGACCAATTTCGATATATTAAAATTCAGCCTAAAACAATAGACCTCGGTACAAGGCTCTAGCGAATAATTACAGTGTTTGTGGGGTTTATTCCCCAGACCTTGTGCTAAGGTCTATTGTGTTAGGCTGAATTTTAATATATCGAAATTGGTCTATTACTGAAGCCTTCCATAATTTTCCATGAGGACTAGTGAAAATAAGTCTGTCCACAGAGGTTCATTTTCTTCTTGAAATCTTGGTATTCCTTTCTGATTTTCTCAGTAATTCCATTCATATTTTCTTAGTCATTCCTTTCTGATATTCTTGTAAGTGAGCAAGCACAATTAACCAACCATGGGTGATAAGCCGTGATAGCTAAGTCTGTTTTGTCTTGACCCATTCTCTTCCCCAGCCCCATGCATTCATTCTTGCACAAATCCTCTGCTGTTTATTATATTTTGCTGGTGTGCTTTAGAAGAATAGTACACAAATTAGCCTGTCCATTCAGATGCTTTCTAAATACCAGTAGTGATTTCATTGCCTGGACCCCCTAAGTTCCACCTTTCAAGTTAAAGAGTGAAGGTTCAGAGCAATGGACCAACAGAAAATCTCAGCCACATTGCCACAGCATTTCCATTCACCAAAATTTCCACAAGTTAACGTTTCTTATACTCAAATAGAAACATGCAAAACGTTTTCTACTCCTTTGAAAATGGTTGAAAGCCCAAGAACTATTACAGTTCCCTTGCTGTATATGCAAATTTACATCATCACACCCCACCTTCATTCATCACACAAATATAATTATTTTATTTTCATTCTATTTTTTAATTGCGTAAACTAATATACACCTTTCCTTACAAGAATAAAACAAGTTTGTTTTTCTTATTTACAATTTTACCAATAAAATATTCTCGACTGTGTATATAGTGTACTACTGATAACATATTTCCAATAAATATTGGAAAATATCTACAGTAGAGTTTTGGTCACAGCTACATGTACTTCTTTCCTTTTTAGGTAATTTTAATTTTTAAAGATATTCTTACCCTGCTAGCAGAGCTACCTTAATCTTTCCTAGGAAAGATTGAAACGGCTCTACATGCTAGCAGTGCTAAGTACCCTAACCTTAGAAAACACAACTGATTTACCTCTACCTTTAATACAACTTAAATATTACTCTTCTTTTCTCTGATGCTGCACTGGAAACAAGCTGAGTTAATTTCAACACTGAGAGATCTTGAATAAATGTGTACAATTTACTCCTGACTTCTAAAGCTTACCTTACATTATCACCCCCAACTGTAATGCCATGCGATTAAATTGCTATAGATGGGGCTGTGCTCTAGAAGTGCCCTGGTGTCACAAGTGACTAACTTTTGCTTTTGGGTGACTGGAAAAACTTACATTTTTCATATAACATTAAGTGCTGGGTACCCAGGATTTCATGGTTGGGGAACTTTGGGCTCCTTACAATTTTCTTAGACCACAGCCTTGATAGAGGACACTGGAGTGCAATACACCACCCACTGGCATTACAAAACGACTTAATTAAGTCCCTCTCTCCACACCATTCATTGTATCCATTCTATTCCTATGAAGTTTCTACAAAGTTGTAAAAATATCATTCTCTTCTTTGATTGTGGAGACTTGAATAGAACTTATTCTTGCATTTCCCAGATCAGATGTCATAAATTTCAGCAATCCCTGCTACACCCTTGTTGACTGGCGTTAAACATGCATGGGCCATTACAAAACAAGCAAATGGAGCTGAAAACAACAACAAAAAAATCACTGTTAAAAGTTAAAACAAAGGTGACCATAATAAACATACAGTTAATCAATAGTAGTATATTCTTAAGGTGGGTCTTCCTAAAGTGAGGTACTTGAAAGCAACCAGTATACACATGTACATTCTATTATTTTTAAAAAATTGCCCTTGGTTGGAAAGTTTTCAAACAAAGAATCTTTTATTTTTTCTTGATCCAAAATGATCAATAAGTTATAAGTTATCCTTCACATTTAATCTTTTGCTTCAATTTATGATGGTAAATAGTATGGGAAAAGGAAGTAAAAATCAAACTGCCAGAAAAATTTAAAGAAAAACAAAACAAAATCAGAACTTAAACAGATCAAATGGTTGAGGATATCTTACCAATGTAAAATATAAAAGGGACAGCAGTGGGAAATAATCCATAGAAGGGAAGCTCAAGCATGATCAGTGCTGTTAACTGTTCTGAAAGGGATAGCTTCCGTCCTGAAAGACAAATCAACGACAGTTATTGTCTCAAATATCTTTAAAGGGATTCTTCACAAACTTAAAGGGCTAATATTTCCATGTACCTTAGCTGCTCATTTATGGCTTGTTATTATCTTACAGTGCAATATGCTTAGGTTAAAGGAGTTGCTGTTGTCATGTTTGTTTTCTCAAAAATCATTCTAATTTTTTAGCCATGGTGGCAAAAATAAAGACCCCTCCAATTTTTGTACCTCCTTTAAATTATAAAAAAATATTTACAAGTTGTGGACTGAACATTAACATTGCCTCCTTTCAGGATGAAGAATTAAGAGATCTTATGTTCCTTTTCACAATACTTGTTCATCTTTCAGGCCATTAGGTACACAAGAGTGAAAAGACTTGAATAAAAACAAAGCAAGCATTTGGTTAAGTGTACATTTGCCAAGGCCAATCCACAGTGGCCTCTGACCTGTGTTCTCTTCAAATATGACAAACTATGGCTAGGGTGGTAAACTGCAAACTCCAGACACAATGTACTATAAAGTAAAGCAATCTAGTTACTTAGTAAATTCGAAAATGCTTCCACATTTTCTCAGTTAAAATCTTGTGAGCTTGCTCTTAGGTGTACTGAGTTGCCCTTTATCTTCAGGGAAGTAACTTACCCATTTTAATTTTAAACTTACCCAACAACTCAATGGGGCAACATCCAATGACATTCAGCACATAGATTAGAATGACTGTAACGCATGTCCACAGCACACAAAAGTTTAAGTCTGCAGAGTCAATCCTGCAAATAGCCAAAGCCTGGAAATCAAGTTCTTGATAGCAGAGGGCATTTTATCTGATAACATGCTAAAAACACCTGAAAAAAATTAGACTACCAGCAGTCTCTCTTTTGCTTGAAAATTCATAAAAAAAAGAACACAAGAAAGAACCACGTTCACAGTCACACTCACATACTCACTTGTTCTGCATTTCTCCCACCAATTTTCAAGCAAAAGAGAGAATGCTTGCAGTCTATAAAAAATACTCACATCACCAGTGAAACAACAACGAGGATAAGTAGCAACCATATATAGTTCAACTGATAGTATGTCATGTTGTGGCCAAAATTTTCAGCAGAAATACTCCACTGGTTTCTCCAACACAGACTAAAGAATCTTTTCCAGGGACGTGTAATAAGTGGAAAAAGAAACTGGAAGCTATTAACAGTGTGTGTTGGAGATTCTTTCTCTTTGTATGGTGGAGGATCGTCAAATTCCACATTGTCTGTTGTTTTATTGGAAGTCTCACTGATATCTTTCTTCTGTGGATCATGGCAGCTGTTCACATCTTGAGCCATTTCATGTATTGGAGGAGGTCCAAGGGGAAAGTCGTTTGTATTTGCCAACATTGTGTGTAGCATCCAATGATGTCAATGATGACCAAGTCAGCTCACATTCTAATCAAAACGTACCTGTACAAAAGAGATATATACATTCTTAATATTTAATTCAGGGATTACACAACATTAACTTCTCACTGTACAAACATGTAACAAAGAAAAAAATCATTTTGTTGTACAATACCACTATTAATAATTTGCAATTTATTACATGACAAGCCTTGAGGTAATTATTCCAAGTGTTCTAAATGGTTCTATTTTGGTCAACATTTTGCTATATGGACTGTTTCCATGGAAATGGTCATAAGCCATGAACTGTATGTTTTGTTTTGTACCGTGTAAACCATTTACTAATCTAGCTTGCTTGAACGCTTGACCCATGCTGGGGAATATCCAAACTGCCATGACCTTGGGCCAATATTCCCCAGTACGGCTCTTGTGCTTGTTAGTAAGTAAGAGGTTTGTAAGTGTCACCCTATTTAAATAAAGGTTGTTTGATTGATTGATTGAAGAGGTTATTATTTCAATCATTACAGTAATTATTTTAATATTTAATATCATTTAATAGCTAAAACTAAGGGATAGTAATTCATTTACCAACAAATCCTCGGAAGAAACATTACAGTAGAATGGTAACTTGAACCTGAATAACTTGAACTCCCCCACTTACTCAAACTAAGTCCCATTTCTCTTGGATTTGACCCTACTATTCAGTCATATGGTCTTTTTTTAACTTTTAACTCGAACTCGGATAACTCAAATTTCCCGCTAACTTGAACTAAATTCCGTTTCCCTTGATCAAATTTACCCCGATAACTCGAATTCTGCTTGATATAACTCATTCCATTAGATTTTAGGATGTCATTCCATTAGATTTTCTTGTCGTGTAATCGATAAAAACACATACAAACTAACACTACAGCAATTTGAGGACATAACCGAGTCACACATTTCACAGTACTGTATTTACATGGGAAAGGTGTATAATCGTGTCACAGGTTCTGACGAGATAAGTTTTATTTGCACTGTACTGTATACTGAACTGCTGAAAGATCAGTGAACTAACAATTACTAGATATTCAATCGACCGCGATAACTCGAACCCCCGTTAACTCGAACTGTTTTTCGTCTCCCTTCAGAGTTACCGGGGTTCTACTGTATATATTGACTGAACTGGCTAGACATTCAATAATTCGATAAGACAAGTAAAGGTACATGTAACATCAATAATGTCTCTAAAATCTATATTTTTACATGTAAGTCTTACAAAATGATCTCTACTGATCTACGATCTACACTCTCAGCTGCCAGATGATCTGATGGAGTTGATCGAGAACTTCAGTGCCCCAAAATAACCCCAGATGACTCAATTCAGATATCTTCGAGTTCAGAAACTACAGAGCACTAAAATACTGATAAAATTAGGGGTTTGCTTCGTAGTGTACCTCTAGTACAAGATCTTCCACTGCTGTTCGTCCTTTCGATACCCACAGTCCATTTCGTTTTGTTTTGATCTTGTCCACAATTCCTTTCGATCGTGGCGCAGAACGACAAGAGGCCTGGGAACGATAGCTATTTTTGGCCAGGCGAAAAGCGAAAGGTTGATGTAGATTGTGCATATTCTTCCGCCTTGTCAAAAATTTCGCGCCGTGATTTGATTTAAGTCTCTCAGTAAAAATTACGAGTCTCCAAATTCCTGGAAAGTTCTTTGATTATCTGCAAGATTTGCTGTTCTCACGACACAGCGTGACATCAGTCTGTGTATGTCGGACAGTCTGCCTGTGTAAGGGTAGGGGCTTGTTCAGTCTTTTCTCACTATTCCCCTCTGAGAAGTCTATTCAAACGTTACAGTTTAAGGTCCTCGATTTCCTCCATCCAGCAGCAATGGGAAAGCGGATAAAAGAAGTCGGCGAACAGGGTTTGTTGGGCGTGTTTTGAAGTATAAAGTCTGACCCCTTCCCCTGACTCCCATTTGAAAAGGACAGGGGTGCTCGTGTGAAATTTTGAAAAGAACCCCTAAGATACCAAGATCCTGTTTTGTTGGCATGACATGGAATTCTTTTCACCCCCAAGAGGTACCAAAAAAGAGTTTTTAGGCTGGACACCCGAAGAGCTACCATACCCTTTTTTTCACCCCCCGAGGGGTGCCACGACTCCACGAGCACCCGGTTCTTTTTATATGGGAGTCTCCTCCCTGGGGTAAAGTTGCGACACTTGACAGGTGAAAGGGACTTATATCTGCATCAACTGCTCTAATAACACAACGTACAACGCTGTTTCGGTCAACAGCACGTATTCAATTTTGTTTTATTAATTTATCTATTACAAATCATGGTAGGTTAAAAGTATAAGTAAACGTACAAACAAAAATATCCACAAATATACAAACAAACAAAAGTGTGAAGAAGCATAAAGTAAGCCGGAAGTCCGAAACATTTACTGGAGAATTAGCACATTTTTTTTAGTATTCTTCGATTTTACTGGATCCTGACGATCTCCGAGCAAACAATGGACGAGGCTTGACACCTGATCGTGTCATGTTTTTACCTGATCTGCATTTCTAGAGCGTTAATTATGTTTTTACCGACATAAACAACATAAAAGGTGAACGTGCAAAACGCTGCACAATCTAGCGTCTATAAGTCGTTCTCAGGTCAGGTTAGAACCGCAAGCACGACACTCAACATCAGTATACTCAAGTTTTGCGGGAGGAAAAGAACTTTCCTAGATCAGAGTGATCAGCTCAATGGAGCCTGAAATATGCACGAAAAAACAGAGCAAAATTTCCTGTGACTACACTTAGCTACTACATGGTAAAAATTGCCCGTCGCGATGATGCTTTCTCGCAAATTTTTGAACTGGAAGCAAGCCCAGTAGAAGGTCAACCACTGCAGCCAAAAGGTAAGAAAAAGAGAAAAAGCAAAGGCGAAAAACAAAAGAACATTACAAAAAACCGAAAAGCTTAAAGACGTAGGTCACATTCCCGTCCAAAAACTCTAAAATTTTGATTTCTGTGCATGCCCGAGCAAACATGACGTAAATCGCGATGCTTGTGGAAAGTAAAGCATGCTGTCCTGTTGCAAATGTCCTTTTGAGTAGATTGGAGCTAATTTGGCTCATATCGAGCCTGAAAATCTCCAAAATGTCCAAAATGTGCGTTTTTGGCAAAAAGCTCCGGGAGTCAATGGGTTAAGGAACACGGTTATCGCTAAATTTTGGAACAACACAACAAAGTAATAATTGTGCTGGTGGCATGTCTTCCTCTTGAACTGCGCATAACTGATCGGATGACTTAAATTGGAATTGACTTATTAATTATAACCGTATGCTAATCTACACATTTTTACTGGACTGTTATGCTCTTCACCACCACTTTTGATTATCACTGAATTTTACACGATTTTTGTCATCCACATGGATGAGAAAGTCCCGAGTGATTCTTTTGAATCTTTTCGCGTCAGTTTGGAAGAGGGAGGAACTAGGGAATCTACCAGAGAGGCTCGTCTCTGAGCCTTTTATTTTTACAAGACAATTTGCACATTGTTTCTTTTAAAATATAATAATAATAATCGACCTGGATTTGAACTGATCAAGATATGTGGTAAGGTGCACGAGTAAAGGAGAGGGATTGGGTAACAGCCAATAAGAGACCCCTTCGGAAAAAAAAGTTCCGTCCTTAATGTTTACTCATATGTCGTGACATTCAAATTTCACGTTTGTAAAATTATAAAAATTAAACCCCAGTGAGAGGAAAAAGCAGCAAGTGACGTTTCGTGACTCTAGTTTTCGTAAAGTAGGCTCCCGACCACAGATACGAAGGGAAAAAAGTTAAAAATATTGGTTGTTGAATATCAAAGCTAAAACAGAGATCAAAGAATTTTTTCCTTGGATCTTCGCACTAGGCTCGCTCTCCCACCCTGCAACAGAATACCTCGTTGCCTGTTCGTATAATGTTGAATATTCTATTATGGAAATTATTTTCCAGTGCAAAATTTCAAGTGCTACAGCTTGAGAGGTACGCTCGCTCCTTTAGATAAGAATTTCACTATACACTGCACTTTTATTGAAAACTGGCTTCTTTTTTTTGCAGTTTGAAGGTGGAAGGCAAAGGCGCCCTGGGAACGAAGCTGGACGAAAGTAAGGCTGGCTCGCGCTTGTTCCAATCTTTTTCACTAGGTAGGCTTCGAAATCACATAATTATTTCAAAACGCTATGACTGTTTTAAGAGGTTGTAAGGAAGAGTAGGACTACAAAAAATTCCAAAGAAGATAAATGAACATCCTGGGTAATGAACGAGAACGCCCGGTCACAAGATTCGAAAGAGGAACAAACTCCTGGTCACGCCCAAGCGCCCTTCAATGGTATGCGCGCGCACCGTCCATCGTGTTGCATTTTGGGACATACTTCTCCTATGAGCGTTTTTACCGCCATGATGGATCCTAGAAAATGGGATCCGAAGAAGAAAATTTGTCCAAGTCAGTCTTGAAAGACGACCTGACAGGCCAAAAACCTCAAAATGCTCTAATACGATTTCCCTAGTGTTTGTTTCAAAATTTTCTTGAACCTGCACGCTTTGTGCAGTGTTTCAAATTTTTAAATTTGAGCGCCGCTTTGGAAACTCAACAGCGCGTCAAGATGAGTAAATTGTCATTCAGAGCTCGGCAGCTCGATTCCAACAAGGCTCTTCCAGTGTATCGGGCGGAGGAACTACCCGATTTGACGGAATTCAGCACTATAAACCGTGCTGTGCCTCAAATGCCAACTGGAATGGAGAAAGAAGAGGAAACGGTGAGTAAAAATAAGTTGTCAACTCTTAGTATTATGCTCATTTCTTTAAGAAAATAAGACGTGCGCGTACCATTTAAAATTTCCATGCAGCTATACAATCCGAGCATCAGTTTGGAAATTGACAATGTCTCTAGGCATTATTTTTGCACGATTCCTCAAGTTTACAAGCTTCGTGAAATGTACTTATAGTTTGTTCACGTGATGTGTATGCGTAAACCCGCCATTTTTGAACGTGGCCGAGGGCGCTTACTATGAATGCCATGGAAATGCGGAAGTAGGTAACAAATAGCGTAGTGTTAAAATCTTTACTACTCCAGCGCGCGTTTTTCCGTTAGATCTTGTAGATTTAAACCTTGTTGTTGCGATCGTTGGTTTTAATGAGTTATGAAAATTCATGTGCTGGCCATTTCCTAGCCCAAACTGAATGGTACAGAGGGGTGGGTTGGCAAGCTCCGAGTCAGTTATGTCGTTCTTTGCCGTAGAAATAACAGCTTATTCGAGTGCTGATTGGAATAAATTGTTGCTAAAATTGAAGTAATTTTCCAAGCAATAAATCATGAAAATGCTTGTTGTCATTATATTTTGTGTGTGATTACAAAACATCATTTTTTGTATTACTTGTGGCTGTCAGTAAGATGTATTTTTGCAGATGACATTGTTGATGTTGGTATTTTCTGTTACATTTTATATTTTTCAATTCTTTGTGAACTGTAACTTTGTAAGTTCTATTTGTACCAGTGTTATAAACTACAATGCATATTAGCAGGGTGTCTGTATTGCCAAAAGTGGCCTATGAAATTATTATATGAGCTGTAGAAATACAACCTTATTTAATTCTTCAGCTATGACATACGATCTTAGTGCGTGCCTTAAAGGAGCTATGTCACAGTTTACACATCTTGAAAAGTTTAGCCTAAATTTTTCAAGTTCTTTATTTTTAATCCAATTTAATCTTTTCTATCTTTAACCATCCTTGCTCCTTTGTGGTAATATTATTATCTCTTTGGTGTTTTTCTATTAAGCAAACTACTATTTTAAGATTTCCTTCAATATAAAGGTAATTTTGTATGTGGCCAAAATAACTCAAAAATGCCGTGGCTGGTCACTGAAGTTTTTTCATTGAATGACAAGTTGATTATCACTTTGTTACAGGGCTCAAAGTTTATTTTAGCTTTGGGAGCACTTGTGCGACCAGCTGTAAATTTTTACGCGCACTGCCAAAATTTTAGGCGCACAGCTTCAAATGCTTGGAGCACCTACTCCAAAAGAATACTTAACGCTCCAAAAAGAGCGACTCAGGCTTCGTGTTGCAAACTGGGCCTATTCTAGCAGTATTGAACACAACAAAAACAAATAAAAGAATCAGGATATTTCACACAAGAGTTAAGCTTAGATATTAACTTCTGAAGTCGCT